TGCGTCAGCCTGTGGTCAACTGGCTCCGTTTGCTTTGTGGCCTGTAGTGAGACATGGCATCATGTTGGGGAGCACATGGTGGGGAGCAGATGAGGGAGCAAACCCCTCCTCCTCCTGGTGACTGGGAAACAAAAAAAGAACCAGAAAATTCAGGTTTCAATATCCCTTCAAAGGGTATGGCTTGAATGACCTGCCATCAGGATTGACTCCTAAGAGTTCTACCACCTCCTAGTAGTGCCCCAGGCTGGTGACCAAGTCTTTCTCATATAGACCTTTGAGGAACGTTTCACATCCAAACCATAACGCTGTTTGATGTTTAGAACCATATCCTGCTTAGAAAAGAGCTGGGACAGTAGGCAACAGGTAGATGGAGGAAAGAAGAGGGTCTTCCAGCTCAAAGAGTATTGCAGTGAATCACGGGCATGGGCAGAGGTCCCTCTAAATGGACATTTCCTGTCCTGATCACCTGGTCCCAAATAACTGACTCAGAGGCTGAATATGAATTATAAATCCTCGGTCAATAGCCCAGGCTTGTTACTAGCTAACTCTTACATTTAAATTAACCCGTATTTCTATTTATGCTTTGTCACATGGTGGTACCTTTATTAGCAGGGCACGTTCATCTCCTGTTCCCTCTGTGTCTGACTGGTGACCCCTGAGTCTGCTCTTCTTCTTCCCATCATTCTTAGTTTGGTTGCCCCGCCTATACTTCCTGCCCAGCTACTGGCCAATCAGCGTTTTATTAAACCAATTTGAGTGACAGATCTTTACAAGAGGATTGTTCCACAGCAGGTCCCTTAAGGCAGATGGTTCTAGGTAGCCTGTACCAGAGACGTCTGCCAAAGTTCAGGCAGACAACCACTCCTGGGTATTAGGACCATTTACATTTCTTCATTGATCACAGATGTTCGTGGAGCACCTTCCCCTGGGCCTAGCAGGCAAGGCAGAAGCAATCGAGCTCTCAGCCTGTGATGATCTGGCTAGACCTTAGGGCAGTGCCGGGTATCAAGAGCTACTTAGTGTCAAGGGCCAGAGGATGGCTTGGAGAGCCAGAACCACTCACTAACCACATGGTCTTCAGCTAGTTAGTTAGCATCTCTGAGTTTCATTGTTCTTTCTCAAAAGTGAAATAATGAAATCCCAGCTCCCAGAGGTAGGGTGGTATGTTAAGTGAAACCTAACACTCGATCAGGTCATGGCAGAGCCCTGGCTTGCTTGCACTGGAGGTCTCTGAGTGGCTGGGGCAGTGGATTGTGACCAACTGGCTTCAGAGATTGCTGTGAGACCGTCGGAGAGTTGAACAGCTTAAACAATCCCGGCACCTGTTAGGCCCGAGGGCCGATTGCAGATTTCCCCCATCGCTCTTGGAATTTAGCGTTTTAACCTGCCCCTGTGTGGAGAGATGTTATACAGTGCTCTGGGCCCTTCTTACCTTGACACATTCCCATGCAGTACTGAAGGCAAAGGCTGCTGAAGAGCGGATAGATAGTGCTGGGTTTATCTAGACCCTCTGATCTCGGGATTTCAAAGACTGTTAGATGAATACCGGGCAGCAGATAAAATTCTTCCTCATTTCCCAGGTAAATAATCTGAGCCTTGCTCACCAGGGAGTGATAGATCCACGCATGTAATCTAGGCCAGAGAAGGGATGCCACTGATGTGCTGATGTAATGGTTTTCAAATGTGTGTGTGTGTGTGTGGATGTAAAAACAAACAAACAAAAAATCACACAAGAAAACCTCTCAAACTGCACATTTATGGATTCTGTCCACATAGTTTGACTGGGAAATCTAGGTGTTGACCTAAATTCTGAGTTTCAAGTGTAGGCTATTCAAAGTGGATATTGTGTGTGTGTGTGTGTGTGTGTGTGTGTGTGTGTGTGTGTGTGTATGTGTGTGTTTATCACATTTAAAAATTACTGATCTAAAGAATCAGAAGGTTGTAACCCTGCAGCAGCCAAGGGGACCGACCGACCACCTCTGTGGGCTTTATCCAGGAACAAAATCTATAATATTCATACCTCACAATTCTGTCCTCTAGGGAAAAAGCATGACAGATGAAACTCAAGGGTCTTAGGCTGTATGTGTGTGTGTGTGTGTGTGTGTGTGTGTGTGTGTGTGTGTGTTGACAGGATCTTGATATGTAGCTGAGGCTACCTCAGATTCACTATTTAGCCCAAGATGGTCTCCGACTCAATCTTTTTTTTTTTTTTTTTTAAAGATTTTTATTTATTTATTATGTATACATCATGTATGACTGCAGGCCAGAAGAGGACACCAGATCCTATCACAGATGGTTGTGAGCTATCATGTGGTTGCTGGGAATTGAACTCAGGACCTCTGGAAGAGCAGTCAGTGCTCTTAACCTCTGAGCCATTTCTCCAGCCCCCGACTCAATCTTTCTGCATCTGCCTCTGAAGTTCTGGGATTATAGGCATGCATCATCATACCTAGACTAACAGCTTTTAATAGTAACATAAGACAGTTTTCTAAGGGTGAGTGTGTCCACTCCCAGGTTGGGGATGGGGTGTATGGGAAACCACAACGTAGCCACAATTTCCAGGTACTCTGAAGCCAGGCCATGTTGTCTAAGGCTCAGAATGAATGGTGAGTTCTGGGGTGGTACTTTCAGCTTCTGATTGCTCCTGGTGTTCCTTGGCTGTGGCTTTGTGACTAATCTCTACTTGGCTCGCCCCCTTGCATTTCTGAGAAGAACTGTTGTGGTTAGATTTAGGTCCCACTATGAAAACCCATCAAGAACTATCTCCTCCATCTAAATGATTACATATTGCAAATCCTTCTAAAAGGAAGCCTAAATCAGGCCACATCTGTTTCAGACATAGTTCTCATAGAGGGAACACAGTTCCAGCCACTGTACTCTTGGTGACCTATCACTATATTCTCTAGTTTCTTTTGGCACAATCTGGTGTCAGTGTTCTCCACAATATGTCACCTGAAAGGCATGAGAGAGTTCTGTAGGGCCCTGCGCCTGGAACATACTAGGCCTTCAATCTTTGTTTAATGAATGGATAAATTATATGGCATTGGTCTGTTCATTTGATAATTAACTATTAGTATAGTTTAGTAAGATACACACCTACTATTGCTAACTAATTCCTGGATTTATTTACTCCTAAAATTTAATAACTAATTGTGGTGGTTTGAGTAAAAATGGCCCCCATAGGCCCATAGGGAATGGCACTATTAGGTGTGGCTTTGTTGGAGTGGAAATGGCCTTGTTGGAGGGAAGTGGTCACTGGGGGGTGGGCTTTGAGGTCTCATATGCTCAAGCCAGGCCCATTGTGGTAGTCTTCCTGCTGCCTACAGATCAAGATATAGAATTCTCAGCTCCTCCTCCAGCACCATGTCTGCCTGCATGCTGCCATGCTTCCCACCATGATGATAATGGACTGAACCTCTGAACTATAAGCCAGCCCCAATTAAATGTTTTCCTTTCTAAGAATTGTTGTAGTTATATGCTGTGGAATAATCATTTTGTACACTGTGAAGATTTGTCACTTGGATTGGTTTAATAAAAGCTGATTGGCCGGTAGCCAGGCAGGAAGTATAGGTGGGACAACCAAACTAAGGATGCTGGGAGGAAGAAGGGAGGAGTCAGAGGAGTCACCAGACAGATACAGAATGAGTTGGATGTACAAGATGGGAGAGCGGTAAAGCCACGTGGCAGAATGTAGATTAATAGAAATGGGTTAATTCAAGCTGTAAGAGGTAGTTAGTAATAAGCCTGAGCTATCGGTTAAGCATTTATAATTAATATTAAACTTCTGTGTCTGTTACTTCAGAACTGGTGGGTGGGACAGAAACTTCTGCCTACTGTTATAGTGTCTCTTCACAGCAATAAAACCTTAACAAAGACATTAATACTATATTTTACGTGTAACTACAAATGGTACAAATTATGTATGTATACTACAACACACACATATATGTGTGTATATATATACATATGTATATATGTATTATATATATATGTGTGTGTGTGTGTATGTATGTATGTATATATTTACTGTGGTTCCTTGAATGGGAATGGCACCCATAGGCTCATAGATTTGATGCTTAGTCCCCAGGTGGTGGAACTATTTGGGAAGGATTAGGAGGTGTGTCGCTGGAGGTGAAGTTTCAAAAGCCCACACCATTCCCAGTTAGCTCTCTCTGCTTCCTACTTGCAGATCAGGATGTAAGCTCTCTGCTGCTCCAGTGCCATGCCTACCTGCCTGCCTGCTGCCATGCTTCCCACCATGATGGTCACAGATGGACTTTAACTCTCTGCAACGGTGAGCTCCATATTAAATGCTTTCTTTTCTATGTTACCTTGGCTATGGCGTTTCATCACAGCAATGGAAAATTAACCAAGACATATATTATTATATATTTAGTAGTTCAGAGAGACAACACCATAGTTAAGAGCACTGGCTGTTCTTCCAGAATACCTGGGTTTGATTACCGGCACCCACAGGGTGGCTCACAATCATCTATGACTTTAGGTCCAAGGGTTCTGATGCCCTCTCTGAGCTCTGTGGGCACCAGGCACGTATATGGTGCACATACATACATGCAGGCAAAACATCTATACATATAAAATTCAATTTAATTTAGAAAATATATGGTAACATAAATCTCTCCTTACTGCTTTTTTTTTTTCTTTTTTTTTTTTTTTACGAGACTGGATTGGCACTGAACTTGCTCTAGCCAAGGATGGTCTTGAACTTCCTCTTAATTCTTCCTTGAAACTGCTGAGATCACAGGTGTACACCAGCACATTCAGTTTTCTGCAGTTCTGGACTCAAACTCAGGGCTTTGTGTAAGTTAGGTAAGCACTCTAATAATTGAATTACGTTCCTCGATATACCTAGTACTTTGAATTTTCAAAAATGTACTTCAGCATTGTTGTCAAGATCTGTGCTGGTTGTTATTTTGTTTTTTTTTTTTTAAGATTTATTTATTTATTATGTGTACAGTATTCTTCCTGCATGTGTCCCTGCATGCCAGAAGAGGGCACCAGATCTCATTACAGATGGTTGTGAGCCAGCATGTGGTTGCTGGGAATTGAACTCAGGACCTCTGGACCTCTAGAAGAGCAGTTGGTGCTCTTAACCACTGAGCCATCTCTCCAGCCCTTGTTTTTGTTTTTGTTTTGGTTTTGAGGCAGGGTCTTACTATGTAGCTCTGGCTGTCTTGGAACTTACCATGTAGACCAAGCTGGCCTCCTTGAACTCACAGAGTTCTGCCTGCTTCTGCCTCCCAAGTACAGGGGTTAAAGGTGTGTGTCACCACTCCAGGCCTGTGCTGGTTGGGTTTTGTCAACTCTGATACAAGCTTAGACATATATGGGAAGAGTGAATCTTTACCGCCATAAGATTGGCCTGTAGGCAAATTTGTGAGTCATTTTCTCAATAAATGATTAATGTGGTAGGGTCCAGATCACTGGGGGTAGTGCCATCCCTGGGAAGGTAGTTCTGAGCCTCTGAAAGCGGGCTGAGCAAGCCAGTAGGCAGCACTCCTCAATGGCCACTGCATCAGCTCCTTCGCCAGCTTCCTGCCCTGACTTTTCCTCAGTGAAGGACTGTGACCTAAGTATTTAAGATGAAATAACCCCCGCCCCCGTCCCCACCACCACCAGTTGCTTTTGGTCATGGTGTTTTGTCACAGCAATAGAAACCTTTGCTAAGCCAAGGTCCATTATCACCCAAAGCATTCACCATTACCCCATCTGTTTGGAGATACTGAATAAGATTCGTCCCACACAGAAACAGTTTGAGAAGAGCAACCGTGTTGCAGTCATCAGTGAGCTCCTCAGCTCAGCTGGTGTGGGTGTGGGAAGGGGGCTGAGAAGACACATATGCCAGGATAGTCCTGATGCTCCCTTGTGTGGGGACTAAAGGCTGCTCAGCTTCCTGCTCAGTGAGTCTTCCCTGATGCTGGATTTCTGTCCCCAGTAACTATCTATCCTCAAAGCACGCCAGGCTTCTTTTCTTAGAGAGTGAATGATCACCTCACCCTGCACACCCAAGAACTAAAGGAGCCACGTGGGATATACACTATGAAGAAAGCCACATGTGGGATTCAGACTTGGAATGGCTATGGCCTGACTCTTTCCTCCGATCTTCCTGTTGGCACCTAATCCTCGATGTAACGATATTAAAGACACACAGAGAAGCTCTTTCCAAAGCCTCATGCGTGTGCTTAGCTTCCCAGGAGGGCAGGAGGGGTGAATTCACCCCTCCCACCACTTTCCCCCTTCTCCGTGTGAGGTCACCATAAATGAGGAATGACTTGTCACCAGGCATGGGATCTGCCAGCGCCTTGGTCTTCCCAGACTCCAGAAGATCAGGAAATGAATTTCTATGATTTGCAAATTGCCTGGTCTAAGGTATTTTGCCGCTGCAGCAGGAGTGGGCTCAGAACCTGTTTGCACCATGTCCGCCCTTGAGCAACGTCCTTTTGCTAGGACTTGGCTTACAATTCCAGCCTCTGCTGCACATGTTACTGGTCTTGTGTGGGTGTGCATGCAGCAGCGAGACATTTGTCGGATGCTGGTGCCAAGGCTGTGCTGACTTCAGGAACAAAACTGGAAACCTCCCGTCTTCTTTCAGATGCCGGAGCGCCGCTGAAGCAGAGACTCCCGGCAATTCCCGCTTGGGCTGGCCTCGGTGAAGGTGTGCGGAAGGAAGGAACGAGAACTCCCTCAGCGCTTTGCTTCGCCACGGACCGTTCTGTTTCCAGATGTTTGCCACGGGAAACAGATTGTGTCTCCGCAGTGCCGCCTGACTTGGAAGGTCAACTCCACAGACATCAAAAGCTCACTTGTCAGAATGTCGCAGACTTTTCCAGTCCCTGTCCCCACCGTGGCCCCGAAGCTGTTGCCTTCAGGTATACACCACAGAAGGTAGAAATGCTTTGAGTTGCCAATCCAGAGGCAGTACTGTCACTGTGCATATGAAGGGCTGCAGTGCGCAAGCGCAGGGTTCATCATTGGCTTTAAAAATAACGTTCCCAGCTCATCTTAAAAGAGAAGAGAAGGCTACAGGCAGCAGAGAGATTAGGCCCTGAATCAAGTTTTCCTTATCTTTGCAGAAGAAGAGGCTTCGTTTGAAAGGTTTTTTATCACCAGTAGGTTGACAGGCAACTACGGTCACGAGCGTCGTTTCGAGGGGACTGGTAAGTCATAAAACCCGTCCCCGTGGCAGGCCCACCTGCACCTGCAGGGTGAGCTACAAGTCCTGAGCAGCGGGGGGCGGTGAGAATAAATGCAGACAAGAATAAAAACCTCAAATGACTTGTTCCAGCCACGCTTTTCATGCCGGGCCTGACAATTATATATGTCCGTGCGATAATATCGAACATGAAAAATGTCTACCTGAGGGAGAGAGGAAGTGTCATCTCATTTCATCAACTCTGTTCATTTCAATATATGGACATTTTCACTAAATTACATAATGTTTTTTTCCCTTCTAAATTTCACCTCGGGGGTTTATGAACGAAATGCCATTCTGACATGGTTCTAAATGACCAGATGAAGATTTATCTTCGGAGTGTAAAGTGGCTGGAATAATACTGACATAGAAATAATTGCTTTTTGGCAGGTGGTCTTGCCGTTTCGTGATTAGACCTACAAATTCAATGTCAGCAAGCTGTCCACAGATGCCTTCCCGGGATCTTCATGAAGGATGACCTGTCCCTCCTAGAATCTACCTTCGTGAGGCTCAGAGGTTCCGACAGAGCAGAAGCAGGGCTTCGGATGAGCCCCCTGCCTCTGCCAGAGCACACCTTAGCAGGGCACTCTTTTCAGGAACACAGGACTGTGCAGCTAATGTGTTTATGTTTTCAAGCTGGACAAGTGAAGAAATGGGGTAACAGAATCATGTGCAATAAAACAATAAATTCCCCCCTCGGAAGCTGACAGTAAGCCAGAGAGCAGAGCCCGCTCTACGCGATCAGGCCCTGGAAAGGTTTCATCCTAGCGGAAGGATGTCCCCAAACAGCTCCGAGGGGTAGCATGTATGCATGTGGGTAGCAAGGGGTCCACAAAGGTGGGTTGCTATGAATGTGCTTTTGAATGGATCCTAGTCACTTTTCTATTGCTGTGAAGAGACACCGCAATTAAAGCAACTTAAAAAGGAAAATACTTAATTTGGGGTTGATGGTTCCAGGAGGTGGTACAGTCCAAGACTGTCGTGGAGGGGGGCGTGGTAGCAAGCAAGCAGGCAGGCAGGCATGGAGCTGGAGCAGTAGCTGAGAGCTTACATGTTGAGACAACAACCATGAGGCAGACAGAGAGAGAGAGAGAGAGAAAGAGAGAGAGAGAGACAGAGAGACAGAGAGAGAGAGAGAGACAGAGAGAGAGAGACAGAGAGAGAGACAGAGACAGAGACAGAGAGACAGAGACAGAGACAACTGGAATAGTGTATATAGGCTTTTGAAACCTTCTCCAACAAGGCCACACCTCCTAATCCTTCCCAAACAGTTCCACCAACTGGGGACCAAGCATTCAAACATATGAGCCTGTGGGGGCCATTTTCATTCAAACCACCACCGAATACAATGAAGATTTCATGTGGAAATTGGAAGATTTCACTCATTGGAAATTGTTACGTGCCAAGCATGGTTCTGGGTATGAATACCAGATAGAATGAAGAGATACAAATGCTGGTTTTCAGGGAACTTATGTTTAGTGGGGGATTCAGGAAACAATCAGGAAAAGTAATGTGTTTGTTGGCTCTCTTGCCTCTATGGCAGGTTGCCCGGCCTAAAAAGAGGAAGGATCATTTGGCTCATGGATTCAGAGGTTTCAGTCCGCTGTGTGTAGGGGTGGGTGGGTGGGTGGAGCAGTGCACATCACGCCAGACAGGAAGCAGAGAGGAGAGAGAGCCTGGGGAACAGGTCTAACTCTCAAGAACTCAGTCCCCGCGAGCTGCCAGCCAAGCCCCAAGTCCTGAAGTTTCTACTACTGCTCAAATTAGCGCCGGGCAGGAGGAGAGGGAGCACTGATATCCGGTGAGGGAGAGTTCGCATCCAAAGCACAACAAGAAAGAGACATAGAATGTTCACAGTCGCCCGAGAGTGAGAGAACTGAGAGAGAGGCAGACACAGAAGATTTCAAGGAAGAGAGAAGTAGGTGGGGGTCTAATGCAGACAGTCAATGGTGGTCCCAATGATGACTGGCAATTAGATCCCACAAGCAGGTCCCCGAGGATCTCAGGTAGACAGAAGGAGGCGTATGGCTAAACCAAATATCAAGGTTCAAAAGGAACTAAGTTTGAGCCCTCTTCCAACGATGCTTCTTAAGCACCTCCTTTGTGCCCGGCTGTGTGTAGCCACTGGCAATACCGCGTTAGCCATCCATCAGTGCCATTCCAGTCGGGGACTGTGCTACAGTCACTCAGCCTCCACAACACAATCAGAGGCCTGCATGCTGGCGGCAAATCCACCCAGGAATTACGCTGGCTTACAGCCTATTAACTTTTACCACTTCCTTAATACAAAGAGAATTTTATTACCAATTATGCAGCAAGTTAAATTAATATTTATAAGAGTCTCGGAGGCCGAGAGGCATGATGAAATTTCTAGATGTGCCTTGCTGGTGCTAGATCTCGCCTCCCCCCTACCCCCCCCCCCCATCATATCGTGGTCCCTCAGTGGGGATGAAAAATACTAAGTAACGGAATTGCGATTCCCATGAAGGATTTTCCTCCTGCAAAGTGGAAATTGGGGAAATCCTTTCAAACCCAGTAAGAAACTTAGTATTGCTTACATTTCTATCATCAAGCCCACATATTAGCAACCTCAGGGAAAGCACCACTGAAGTGCCCCGGCTGTCCCTGCTCCAGAAAGTGTGTTACCTTTGGATTCCGGGCAGCCCCAGCCCCTGGGGTTTGTACAGCAGCGACCAAAAGTCACACCCTTTCCTGCTTTGAACTTGCCCAGGTCACTGTCTCCTGGAAGCCTTTGCAGGTATCAGCCTTCTTTATCCAGTGTCTTCTTCCTCACGGCCTGGAAAGCTCCTCAGAGGCAACTGAGTTCTACATGGCTTACCCCTGGCCCCATTAGGTAGGGGAAGGTCCCTTTGGGGGGGGGGAGGCAGTAGATGGGGGATTGCCTGTGCTTTAAAGTCAGACTGACATCCTGGGACCCGGCTCTGTCTCCTCTGAGCTGTGTGAGCTTGTAAGCAAAGCTGGATGCATTGCCCAGTTTCCGTTTCCTCCAGGTAAAATGGCAGCACTCTCCTCAGAAGGCTGTGCAAGGACAGAGGGGGCACACCTTCATCAAAGGCCAGTTCTCTCCTCTTAGCAAGGCCCCACCCCTCTACACTCACCCCCTTCAGAGGATCCATTTGGAGGGACAGGGGTTGTTGAGGAGCTGGAGAAGGGGGGAAGGGGGAGGGGAAGAAAAGGAGGGGGTCAGAGAAGTTGAGGGAGGCAGGGAGGCAGGAGAGAAGAAGAAGGGCGTGATGGGGAGGGAGGAGGGTGTGGAGGAAGATGAGGGAAGAGGTGAGAGCCTGTTCAGTGAGTGATGGGGGTTAGGACGACTCCACTGAGATGAGAAACCAGTCAGCACCGTGGAAATCCTTCCATGGTCTGAGGCAGATAGCTGTCCTCACAGACCAGACAGGGGATAAATAAGGAACGCCTCAACGGGCCACATCCAAAGTAAAGGCTCACTGCTATTGGAAGAGTTTCTGTGTCTCCCAACCCATCCCCAGGCATGACCGACACCGATGGCCACGTGTTCTTTCCTGTGACAAACATCACAGCGTCCCCAGACCCCCCGTGGGGGGCATTTTGTGAGTGTCCGGTTGCTGTTCCTTCTCGTGGAGAGACGTGAATGTCATCTGTTCAGTCCACGTAGGGCGCAGACAACCTACCCATGAAATGACTCCACGTGAGACTTGGGTGATGAGCCAGTGAGTTTATTGGGGTTTGGGAGCTGGTGTGACTCAGGCAGCTGCATCCCTAAAAGTCTCACCCCAGCATAGGTGATGACTTATGAGAACCACATCCTAGGCATCCTTTGTGCACCTTGTAGGCAGATCCAACAGAGTCCTCCCACACCCGAAGATTGTTTGCTGTGTGTAACCCTCTGGCTGAGACCTCCTGGGTCTTGTTACGTCCCTGTGTGTTTTAGGAGTCTCTCTTCCTTTTCTTCAGGTCTGAGGAAAGAGCCATGCCACAGCCCCTTTGTCATTCCAGCAGTTGATCCTTCTCCATGTTGAGGGTTGTGGGAGGAAGCTTTCTTAGGGGTGCAAGAGAGAACCTTGGGAGTGGATGAGGTCTCTGCACCATGAGGCTCACATAGGTCCCCCAAGGCAACAGAATGGAGGTATATGGAAGTAATATAGCAAAGTGATGCACCATCAAGGCTCCCGAGCCTTTTACTCACCGCTATGCAGGCAAGGGAAAGCCAGGTTCAATGTTATTAACAAAGTTAAACAAGTGGGGGGGTGGGGGGGGAGGAACGCACAGCAAAAACAGCCACAGAGAGCCCTTTGTAACAGTTTAGTTAACCTGAACAGAAAAACCTTTGATAAACTCCCCAGAGAGCTTAAATATTTCCCCTCTCTCATGGCCCACGTAGCCATGCCAGCAGGCCATCCTTGAAAACAAGATGACTTACTCCATCAACCTCAATAAGCCCTAATCCTGGAGGAAGGAAGTAGGGTCTGGTTTCCACGCTCGCTTTAAAAAAAAAAAAAAAAATCAGGCCTTTGTTTCTCGGGGCTGCTCTTCCAGGATTTGTAACACACGGTGGTTTGATTTGGCAGGAAAGGCACCTTCTTCTGAACACAAAGGGTTGTTTTTACAGGCTTTGAGCTCCGCTCTCCCGGCCGGCCGGCCGGCGGCGCGCTCCTGTCATTTTCCCCTGAGGCCACTGGGTGGCGCCCAAGGAGCCGGGATTACCAGTAAGACTGTTGCTCCCAACTCCCGCCAGGGCGATTTGGGACAGTTTAGTCACACGGGTACCAGGACAGATGAGTGGCTGGGAAGGAGAGAAGAAATCAGCTCCCCCTCGAGTCCACTTTTAATATGGACAGTCCATGCTCCGCTCACCCCCACCCCCCCACCCCCCCAATATAAATAAGGAATTAAAGTGTGTTTAGCAAGGATGCTTCTATTTGGAAAATGTTCTTTTTTTATTGGAGTGTAAAAGACCATTAGAATTAAGAGTGGGCAGAGGCAGCTTCGTTCAAGCGGCCTGGCTAGGCCCCTTCCAGTTCACTGTCCTCCACTGTAAAAGCTGGTGGCATAGTTTTAAATTTCCTTCCCACTGTGTCGTCCTCGTGCCCCGGTACCGCCAACTGCTCACCAGCAGCCCGGCGGCGTTCTGAGTACCAGTCCACCCCGACGCCTCCCCCAGGGACCAGCCATCTCCTCCTCTCTGCTGCTCTCCCGAAACCCAAAATTTGCTTAGCAGCGTCCCACCTTAGAGACCGAACTGATCTAGGAGCGCCTTCCCTAGCCCCACCTCCACCTTCGGCTACTCTGTTCTGTCTTCCTTTCCCTCTCAACAAATGCTGACACCCCCAGCTTGCCTCTTGCCCACTCGGATGCACTAGTTGGGCGTCTGTCCCCGGGGGCGCCGCTGAAACCCACCACCCACAGTCAAATCCAGAGATTGCCTTTGCCCCTTTCCACCACGGCTGCTCTCTCACGCTGCCTGCGGACAGCACAGAGCTCTTAGGAGCTCTTTCCATCCTTGGTTTCTATGATCCTCTCACAGCCCTCGCTTGACCTAAACTCGCCTTGGTGCCATTTGGAACTACATCTCCCACAAAGCCTTGCAGGAGCTGTAAGAAGAAGCTTCGAAGACCCTAGTCATAGCCGAGCTTGGGCCTGGAAGACAAGGTGACCAGAGTTCTCTATCCTCCCATCTATTTTTACTAAGCCGGGGCAACCTTGGCCAAGCAAGCAT